ATTTTCGCTCAGGTTCTGCGAACTCCATAGTAGTTAGACGTGCCCACGCCAGATGGTCACGCCTGACGGAGGAAATTTTCGTTCAGGATCTGCGGACTCTATAGCAGTTAGACGTGCCCACGCCAGGTGGTCACGCTTGAGGGAAAGGAATTTTCGTTCAGGATCTGCGGGCTCTATAGCAATTAGACGTGCCCACGCCTAGGCCAGAGGTTCCTTATTCTGAAAAAAAAAAAAAAAGAGATAAAATTTTTACAAAAGCAATTTCAATTTTTGGAGAATTTCGGTAAGACTAGTTAAAAAAAAAAAAACCATTTTATTTTCTTTTCCTTCTTTTCTTCTTTCTTTTCTTTCTTCCTTCTTCCCCGCTGCCCCTGCTTTCCCCTTTTCTCTTGTTCCTTCAACCAGAGCCGCCGGCGATGAGCGCCTGCCTGAGCTCTGCGACAGCCGCGCCACCAGCACGCCGCACTCCAGCTTTGCGCACCACCACCGCCACTCCAGCTTTCCTCCTGTTTTGTCTGCTATCCTCCTCCGCCACTGCTGTCGGCTATCTCCACCAGCGGTCAACCTCCTACTTCCTCCCTCGCGCGCAGCTTTCGCCCACAACCAGACCACCTCACGGTCCACTTCGCTGAGGAGCCGCGCCGCCGCCTGCTCGAGCTCCACAACCACCGCTACCAGTCATCACTGTCGCACGCTGCCAGCGCCGCAGCCCAGCCCGCGGGCCTGTTGCCTTCCACCAGCTCAGGGTCGCCCCCACCTCAGCCACGCCAACATCCCAACCTCCCTGGTGCCAGGTTTTTCTTAAATAATTTTCTGGTCCCCGATTCCAATTTCTTGATGTTGATGGGATCTTGATGATTACGATTTCATTGAGTAAATTTGTTGGATAACGCCGGAGATGATTTGAGCATTTTCTGGGTTCATTTAGAACTGAATTGAGGTTAATTGCTGCTCGATTGTTGGCCGTTTGATTTATCGTTTGCCCTGTGACTCACCAGTGGTACTGGTTGATTAATTTTAAAGTTTAAGTTCTTGCGGTTGAGTTGCTGCCATTGAATTTAATTCTTTCCTGTCTGGGCACCAGTGGTACGGGTTGGGGTATTATAACTACATTTGTTGATACTTGGTTCTAGTTGGTGGGCTACTTGATTGAAAACTGCCAAACATTTTGTTTTAGTTGTAGTCCAAATTCTGAACTGCTATTTCTGGTTTTGACGGTTTCTTGGCTTATTTGCTAATTTCGGTTGGTTGAGTTGTGTAATTTCTTGTCCAATTGGAGCCATTTGGACAGATTTTGGGTGGGCAAATTTTGTCGCTCTCTGTTGATCTTTGGGAGGCATTTCTGACCGTATTCTACGTATTCAAATTGGTCGAATTCACTGCTTTGTTGAGGTTATTTTTGGTATCACTTGAGTTCTACTTTGCTGATTTCTGTCTTGCGTCCCTTGAAGTGCCTTTGGTTGGGTATTTTCTTCATTTGTTTGTTGAATTGGAAGGCTACTGTGCCACTTCCATTGCTTATTGCTGTTGGTGGCGTCTAATTGACTTGCTGGGAGTATTTTACCTTTTGATTTCAATTGCTAAATCTTTAGAGCATTTGTTTCAATTTTGGACTACATTGTTCCTGCATTTGACCCAATTGGAGCCACCAGTGAGTATTTGCTGGTTTGATGTTCTCTGTTGCACTCTAGTTCGCCTGGATCAAGACGCACGTCGAAGCTCTCCTTCCCTCTACAATCTTTCACTGCCGCGCACTACCGTAGCACCATTTTCACTCCACCGTTCCCACCTATTCCATAGCCGCCCGAGACCTTCCACCACGTATTCAGGGAAGTCCCGTTGCCCTTCGCCTTGCTATTACTGTTTATTTGTCACATTGAGGGCAATGTGTGATTTAGGTGTGGGGGGAGTAGTATATTGGCATTTTATTGAAAAAGTGCAAGTGTAGGCATTTTTGTTGGAATTTTTGTTTGACTTTGTCGAATTTTGTCCAATTTTTGCCTATCTTTGTGCTTATTTGTGATTATTCCTGATAAACGATGGTTGGATGTTTCAAATTTTTCTATTGCTAAGATTTTACACTTTAAGGTGTTGAGTATGATATGGTTGAGTTTAAGGGTATCTCTTTGATGAATATTTGAGATTTTGTGACTTTTGTACTTTTTGGTTAACTTTTCTAAGTATTGTAAATATTTGTCTAGCATTTTTTGTGCAAATTGGTTCAACTATTAATCTTAGTTCTCCATATTTAAGAAATGAAGCGGGTATGTGTGATTATTAATTTGGTGCTTATTTATGAATAGTATTAGGCTATACTCCGCTAGTATCGTTGCCTAGTAACCGGGAGTTTTCACCACAAGTGTCGACTTTCGCGTCAAAAAGCGACGATAACTATGAGTATGTGGTTTTTAAACGATGATGGCTGAGTAACCGGGCTCCTTCATGTGGCCAATGTTGGAGTTCGCGTCAAAACGCTTGAATGGCTAAAAACTATGCATTCCCCCGGAAAAAAAATTCAATCAAGCGTGGGGATATTTTAGAAAAAAGTGCTAATAGTGAAAAATATGAATGAATTGCTAGCCCGCTGACCCATGAATTTTATTGTTGAGATTTTGCTTAATAGTCGAACCATTTGCTTATGGATGCTGGTTGAATATTTTATATTTTTAGATTAGTTAGTCATAAATTGGAAGAGTTCTTAATTTTGAAGGCTAACTGGAGAGATATTGCTTGAGAAATTACCACTAATACTTGACATATAATTTAATTGTATCTTGGCAATAGAAGATTTGAGCAATAGCTATTATTTGAATTTGATTTGTTGTTCTCATGCTTGAGGACAAGCATGGTTTAGGTGTGGGGGAAATTGATAGGTCATAATTTGTTGCTAAATTTATAATTATTTTTACCTAGATTTTAGCCAAATATTATTTTAATTGATTGATTCTACTTATATTTGGTATTTGGTACTAATTGCAGGAAGGTGGAGCAAAAAGAGATAAAAAATGTGATTTTTCAAGAGTTTTCTAATTCAAAATGGAGTCTACGTGGATTATTGACAGAAGATTAGGAGGAAGTCTATTTGGTTTAAAAAAGTTAAAAATTAGGAAAATCAATTCCTTCAATTTCGTGGCTACCAAAAGGAAAAAGAGGGAAGTATTAGACTCCTAGTAGGTCTACTTGGCTTGGCATGAATTTCTATTTGGATTTGCTATGTGGGGACCATCGAGAGAAAGCCACGGTGGTGGACCTTTGTATTTGGACTTTGGCTAATTTGGATAGCATTGTAATTGGTCTTGATTTTGCTCCTTTAGCCGACCGAGAAAATAGGAAAAGGGAAGCCGGATCCCGCGTGATTAAGAGTTGAAGGCAGCAACAAATTCGGTTCTTCTTTTCACGGCAGAAATAAAAAGGGCACAATTGCTTTTGTTCTTATGACTTTTTTTTCTTTGGCTAGTTGGCCGATTTGGCCAGGAACAATTTTGTAAGGTTCGAATAGCTCTTTCGCATGGTTGTTCTCCATTAATGGAGGACTAACCTCTTAATTCTAGTGAAGGGGACAACTGAAGACTTGGTTCAACAATTACTGTGAGATCTAATTTATTTTAATTGTTTCCTCCATTTATTGGTATTCATATGTTTCCTGCTTTTAACTGTTATAACTCTTGTGTATGATTGATTAGTGCGCAATAATTAATTATTCATACAGGCTATTTTGCTAAATAGAGGTAATTGAATCCGTAATTGTTCGTTATCTCTATCCCAGTAGCAACTGACGTAATTGGGTTTATGTCAGGGAAACATACGATCTAATTTAAACAAACCCTCGTAGCGTGTTTGTTAATTAGGATTGGGTCTTTCTAATTATTAATGCAAACCAGAAATTAAATCCTACGGTCGTACCTAGGGTTGTTTTTGGGTTAGGAAAATAGTTAACGGTCGTACCTTAGCTATCGATAAATTAAGGAAGGGTTGGTTGTTTAGCGCGTGCGAGACAACTATAACCACTCTATTAATAAATGTTGGAATTACCTTTGAATCAATGATCAGTTGCATGAACCATTTCTGAAGTATACCCTTGGCTAGAGTTTCTCTCATTTATTTCTTTTAATTAATTATTTTCTGCAGTTAATTTGTTTAGTTGGCATTTGATACCAAAACCCCCCATTAATCTTGATTTGAAAAGAAACAAATATCTCTCCAGTCCCTGAGGAAACGACCCTGCTTACCACTATCTACTAGTTAGAGAACTCAGTTAAATAATTAATTCAGGTATATCGGATTAAGCAAACTCTTCGGGAACAGGGTGAATCAAGTAACCCATTGCACACCTAGAGTCCCTGCTCCAGTACTCGGATTGATTATTGACTGATTTAGGTGGTAGTTAGGTTTTATTTATTATTATTGCACAGGTTCGGCACCTGTCAAACCTCCTACGTACGATAAAGTCAGATTACAAGATATGACATACAGAGTTTGGTGAAAGAAAGGTGCAAATGTTGCAGTCAATCAACAGCTTTAAGCATATTTTGTTCTTTCCCATTTCATCAATAGTAGTTGAACTAAGCACAAGAGAATCTCCAAAGTTGAGATGCTTTGTTAAAAATCCATTCTAAAATTGCTTTGCAAGTTAAAATTTAACTGAATTACTTTTGATATTTTAGTGCATAAACCACATTTGTGAGAATTGTTCTGGCCATTTCTATATATTTCAAGGGCCTCAAGACACAAAATAGAATCTGAAATTACAACCATCAGTTTTTGATCCAAGATAAGTCAGGCTACTCAATATTTTCCTCCATAATTTGATGTCAGATAACATGAATCTACATCAAGAACTACAACGAAAACAACCAGCTCAAAAATAGGTAGTAAATTTTTAAATGAGTGAAGGATTGACGTACCCAAATTCTAGAATCAAATCCTGTATCTTACACATTGCTCCTGTCTGTCCTTGGCAATCCTACATAATCATCTTAACTATTACAGTTACAGCCAATTCAGGCAGTGGAACGACCTTGACCATTATAGGCATAAGAATTTGCATAATACAAGAAGGCTAAGAACTCCACCATACTAAATCCAGCAAGTAACCAGTAAAAGTAATCAAGATGTGCTTGATTCAAGTTACTGGAAAACCAACCACCGACTCTGCTGCCGCTGCTTGTGAATCTCTCAATGCTGGAGATAAGAAAACTGCTTAGAAAGCTCCCAATTCCAAAGATGCTCAGAAAAAAAGAGAGGCCTATAGTTTTTAATTCACTTGCCATTTGATCATAGAAAAGCTCCTGCAAACCAACCACAGTGAAAACATCAGCAATTCCGGACAATATATACTGAGGCACCAACCACCAAAAACTCATAGGAACCGTTGCGTGTGGCAGATCAGCTAAACCATTCCATTGAGCAATTTGAAGTCTCTTTCTTTCAACAAGAGCAGCAATGATCATTGAAGCAGTACATAGAACCATTCCTATTCCAATTCTCTGCAGCTTCGTTATCCCTGATGGCCTTCCGGTAATAGTTCTTGCAGGAGGGACAAAAATGCAGTCATAAATAGGGACAAAAAGGATAATGGAAATGCCTGTTAAATACTGAAGTGAAGCAGCGGGTAACACAAATCCTGAACCTATTGATTTATCCATTGTAACCCCTTGTTCTGTGAACAAAGTGGAAGTTTGTGCAAACACAACAGCATATGCCAAGGATGTAGCCCATATAGGAAACAAATCTTTAAGTGACTTTAATTCTTCAATTTCACAGACTTCGGACACATCCTTGTACTTCTCAAGATCATCTTTTTCCAGCAAAGCTTCATTGAGAAATCTGTACGTGGTTAAAAAGATTCAAGATCAATTCAAATTTTTGAATAAATTATTGGTGGATTATAGGCAATGATTTAAATGAATGTTGAACTCACCGAAACTCATTTTTGTCAAAATTCTGATAAAGGACCATTTTAAAAACCAACATTTTGTACATTGAGCTGCAATTAAATACATTTAGAGGTTCATGAACCTCCATGAACTTTCTCCAAGTTTCAATAAACATGGTAGTTCTAATTTATCAGCTTAAAATAACAGAGTTTTTTCCGATGTTAGTTGTATCCTACCAACAACAAAATCTAAATGCAGAACAGAAGAATCATATTCCACATTTTTTACAAGCACAAGCATGTCTTTTAAGTATTACTTTTTTTTTCCTGTAGCTTCATCTTCATAGGTTGAAGTCTCAGAAAGATGCCATAAAGACACAATAAGAAAAGACATTCTCACTTATGTAAGTAGTATCATCTTACTCATATTGCTTGGATCTTGCTTCATTGACTGTTGCATGTACTCCTTCACTAGACTTTGATGAAGGGACAGACTGCCTATACTTAGCTCCTTTAGCAAACAAATTGCCAATATTTGAAAGGGAAAACTTCTCTTCATCTTTCACTTTATACCTATAAGTCTTACTGCCAAGTAAGAAAACGAGTAGGGCGACTGCAAGAGAGATGCATGGGATCCCGAAGCCAAGAGCCCAACTAAGGTTATCTTGAATATAGTTTAAGACCAATAGTGCACTCAAAGGACCTGCACATAAACCAAAATACCACCAATTGAAGAATGAACTTTTGCTTCTGCTCTCTTCTGGATCTTGTCCATCAAACTGGTCCGCTCCAAAAGCGACAATGAATGGCTTGTGCGCCCCCTGGCTAAGTGCTATTAAATATAGAGAAAAGAAGAAGAGAATAACTTGTAATTGGCCAGGGGAACATGATTGCATGCTGATGTTGCTTTGGCAGTTAGATATGGTTAATAGGCCAAGTGCCTGCAATTCATATCAGTTGAATTAGTACAATTTAGCAGTCAGGATGCACAATCATGTAGCTATTTGTCAGCATCTTTCATGACCATTCACTGGTTAGAGAGAATTTAGATCATATTTTCACTCTTTAAAGATTAACTGGTGTCTCCAATCTCGATTACCTATTTTACAGTTTAGCTCATATGTTCGCGAAATCAAAGGGTAAGATCCTAGACAGCGAGGATGTGGTATTAGTGATCCTCCTTCAAAAGGATTAGATCCTCTGTCTCTATCAAGGGTTTCCTTTTGGAATTTATCAACAACATAACGACTTAGTAATTTGCTCAGAGACTTGTCACGGAAAATCCATTTCACAACAACAATATCAAAATTGCACTACTTCACAATGGTTTTAAATATGACTATCTACATCACATACATTGACACAGACAAGGGTTCAAAACAAAAGAAACCAACCAGGATGTAAATCACAGATGCAACCACGATGGTCCGATACCGGCCTAGAAATGAATCGGCCACAAATGCCCCCACAAGCGGCAGCATTGCTTCGGCGCCTGTCCAGATGTTAACATTGGCAGCTGCAACGGCTGTTGACTGCCTAAGATGACCCGTAAGGTAAGTTATAAGATTGGAACCTACTCCAAAGTATGCAAACCTCTCTGCTACTCCAACACCTGCCATCCAATTCATAAACTAAAACAGCAGACATGCAAAGTAGTACTACAAGTTTGGGTAATTACAAAAGTTTTGGTACATGTATGATGTATTATAGCATAATCTAGCTATAGTTCTTCCAGAATTAACTATTTACGCAAGACCGACTTGATATAAAAAGAGAAGTGAAGAGAGATCGACTAACAATGGTTAATCCTTTAATGATGAATTTTTGCTGCTTCAAGTGTGGAAATATATGTGTACAAGTATAAAGACTAGTGTTATGCAAAGATTCTATGATCAAATCACTAGGCTAGTTTTCTTGCTTCATGATTATCTTAGCCTAATATTGTGCAGAAAATCCAAGGAAAAATCATAAATAAATAACTAAAATAACACGAATTAAATAGTAAGTAAAAGTTTAAGAAAAGTAGAGGTGCAATTTCCAAGTAAGTTATCAATGTGATGAAACAAGTTTTTTGTTAAAAAAATAATAACAATAATAAATTTTTCCATTTTGCACTAGTTTAAAAAAGTTTCTTAAGTACAAGATGAAAATGAGATGCAGCCATTAATTCACCTACATAGATATTCCTGGTTTCATTAAGAAGGAATTGATAGGAATTAATCTCACCTATAATGAAATAAGCAGATTTCCATTTTCCTGATTGGGATCTTTTTGCTGGGAGACCTTGATAATCTACAACACCATCAATCGTATCATGATGACAAGCTGAAACTTCTTCATCAGAACTGGGAATATCTGCAGGAATGATGGCTGATCCAATAGGATCAGTACTGGCCATGTCTGTAGAACTTCCGAGTACTGGTACAAAACTAGACTAGAGAGTCCACCCCAAAACTGGCACATTGGATTTTCAACGAAATTCCCACAATCCCAGCTTGAAAATCTGAGGAAGGAAGTTGAAAAAGCCATTTAAGCTTGGCAAGACCCTTCGGCAGTGGGCGGGTGGATGGGTGTATACGGGTTGCATGCCTATGCAAGCATGCATCAAATGCTCAACACTTGTGGGAATTTTTCCTTTTTTTTTTTTTTTTAAGGGAAGGAATTTTTCTAGTCATTTTCGGTTAAGAAGTTAATACTACTCCACCATTACTTTTTTGGTCCAACAAGCTAAAGTTTTTTTTTTTTTTGGATGGGGATCCTGAAAATTGGGCTATATTATATGTGTGCTAATGGCTATCAAGGACCATTTTGGACTGCCCCTTTCTGATTACTCATTGCAATGTGTTTATCCTCAGCCCAACTGAGACACCTTTTCTTTTTAATTTCTTTATTTTCTTACAGGTGAAAATTGTCAAAAACAGAATGACAGGATGTCGAAGCCTGTACAATAATAAAATTAAACCTAATTGCCAGTTGAAATGACCAAAACCCAATTTCAAGTACTGGAGCAGGGACTCTAGGTGTGCAATGGGTTATTTGATTCATCATGTTCCCGAAGAGTTTGCTTGATCCGATATACCCGAATGGAATGGTTATTTTTGCACAAATAATTATGAATTCGTAGACATGGCAAGTAGGGTCGTATCCACAGGGATTGGGTATATTTGTTTCTTAAGAAATCCAAAGTAACACAGGGGGTGATTTTGTAGGAACGATGACAATCAAATACTTCAAATAAGAAAGTAAAAATAAATAACTAACTAGAAATTAAACCACAATTCACTGAACTTAGAATAACAATAATTAAAGGCCTGAATCAATTAAAACAAGAAAACAATTAAAAGTAAAATAAAATAGGCAACTACAAATCAAATGGGCAATTCACTAAAATCAAAATAATATTAATTAAGGATCTAGCCAAGAAGTAACTTCAGTAATGGTTCGCCTAATTAATCATCGATACAAAGCCAATTCCAATTAATTACCAATAAATAGGTTATAACTACCAAACAAGCGATGGCAGTCAACCCCTCCTTACTGTGTCGGTGATCAAGGTACGCCCGTTAATCACTGCTCTAATTAGGAAATAATCCTCGGTACGCCAGATTTAATTCTCCAATTGCCTTACGTATTAGAGGAGCCCTATTCTAACCAAATAACGCACTACCAGGGTTATTTCAGATTAGCCCGCGTATCCCTCTGACACAAATCTAATCGTGCCAGTTGTCATTATTTCAGGACAATTAAACAATTACGAATTTAATGCCCTAACAATAAGTTACCAAATCAATTAATTATCCGGATCCAAGACAATCAATTAATTAAATAACCACAAGCATAGCAATCAAGGAATATGCGAATACTAATAAATAAATAGAAAGATTAAATTAAATCGATCTCACAATTTTTTTAGGCTAACCAGAGCCTTCGTTGCTTCTTCACTAGAATGAGAGAATTAGCTCATATTCGATGTGAAAAACCCGCAAGAAATTGTAAAGAGAGCCGCAGCCATAGTCCCTTGAAATTGGGGAAGTTCAATTGTTCAATTACGAAAGAAAGGAAAAACTGTTGCAATACAACTGATTGTCAGCATACGAAGTAGGCAAAGTAGCTTCAAAAGCTAAAAGGGAGATAAGTCAAAAAGGTAAGCTAAAGCCAAAGGTCCTCCATACGAGAGGGAAAAGCTACCCAAGGAAAGTCAAAGACTAAAGCTTCCAAGCAGTCCGCCCTCTCTGCTGCTCAATTCCTATCTATTCCCCCCCTTTTTCCTTTTGGCGGCACACCAGGAGAAAGAAGCCCTTCATCCGTCCTTGCTTCGCAGAAATTACCATAGTGGGCATGATGTCTTCTTTTCAAAAAATGCCCCTGGGACAAGCTCTATCATTTGGACTCCTTTTCTATCAAATTGGCACCTGTTATTATATTTTCGTTCTACTCCCTGAAATATATGCAAATTACGAAAAGTGAGTAGAATCTATTAATTAATTCATATCAGGTCGGGTAATAGGGGAAATTAATAATAAAATAAATGATAAAATTACAGACTATCAATTCCCCCCACACCTAAATCATGCTTGCCCTCAAGCATAAGAAAAGTACACAGACACCAAAATTTGATAATGGTCATTGCTCTATCTACCGACTTGCCAAGATATCAAGAAAAACCATATATCGAGCACTAGTGATCAAAATCCGAGAAGTATCCCCCCAATTAGTTTCTAAACTGCAAACTCCTTCAATTTCCAAATTAGCTAATTTAAGAAAAAGGAATGGCACATAACATTTATCAGCAAACAATCCAAATATTAACCAAAACCTCCATATTCAGTCCATAAATGGGCAAGCTGACCTCTAACATACTACACAACCTGCACTTTTCTGTTTTTTTTTTAATTTTTTTTCATTTCCAATAATAATAACAATAACACAAAAGACTTAGTCTCTAGCCGTTGGAGCCTTTTGAAGCGAACTTCAACATTTTTAGATGAAGAAACCCAGTTACTCAGCTCTCACCGCTATACGTCCACGTACTCATAAAAAGTACCATCTTTTGACGCGAGAATCGACACTTTTAGGTGCAGATTCCCGGTTACTCAGTAGCAACTAATAGCGGAGTACAGTCAAGGTTATTCACAGCCAAACAATGCAAAAACGTAAAATAACAACACTAATAATCACGCATAGGAGCAGCTCGCCTCATTATTGCCAAACATGGAGAACTGGAGTCAATATTGGACCAGTTCACATTAAAATGCCAACAGTCATTCCCTATGCCTAGAAAAGTTAACAAAGAAATCAAAAGAGCCAAACAGTCCAATATTCACCAAGGAGATATCTTGGACCCAACCACATTAACCCGATACATTTTTATTTTAAAAACTTGGCAAAAGTAGAATTAGAGTCAATAAACCAACATCCATTTTTTTTTCCATAAGAGATAAGCACCAAGAAAAGAAAATAAGCAACTAGAAATAAAACTAACAACTACTAAAAACTAAAAACACTATAGACCCCCCTCACACCTATAGGACACATTGTCCTCAATGTGTCAAATAAAAAGCAAAAGTGAGAGAGAAAGCAATCAAACTACCCTGAAACCGAGTCAAAGAGGTGGGCGAGGTGGAAACGGAGGAGCGAAGCCCGTATGAAGCAGAAATTGTGCCAAATTCTATGCCATGCCGGCGACATTGGCGTCGACGTTGACCAGCCGAGCCTCCAAAGCCTGAACCTGCTCCCGGAGTTGCTGCCATTCAATCGTCCCATTTGGTGGAGGTGGCGCAGAAGATGATGGCCCAGCTGTGTCCTCGGCTGACTCATGAAATGAAGAGGGTCCTGCTCGGGTCGAAGGGTGCACCCCCGGAGCTCAAACTGGACCCGGAGGGGTAAACTGGTAAGAACCATCGGACAGGCGCTCGACGACTCCCATCTTCTCCAAGTAATTCACGTCCAAGAGCTCTATCTCGAACGTCAAATGTAGGTCGTGGTCCTCCAGGTTAATAACCCCCAACTGTGTCGCCAAGTGGGCGATATAGGATCCAAGGATCAGGGGCTTGTTCTTTTTGGCTAAGACGGTCTTGAACTGTGCCGCCAACCAACACCTCAAGTTGACCTTGATGTTATTTTTCATACTCCAGATGAAGAAAAACTCGGGTCGAGAGAGAATGCCGGAACTGTCCTTGCGACCGGAGTAGCTGTAGGCTAAGAATCGCTGAATGTATCGGGCGCAAGGGTCCTTAAGAAAGGAGCTCCTAGACCTAGAAGGGTCGTAGCGGTGCCGATCGGTAGACATTTCTGCCCACACAACACGGTAGCGGGAGAGAAAAGATTCTATGTAGTCACAGGCACTCTCACCATACTCCCTAGTCTCAGCATACTCTTGAGTAATGAACCCAAATGCCAAATTAAATTGGATAATCGAAAAATTAAATTTCCGACCCATCAGACGGAAGCGGATGACATTGGGTGTCTCAACGGTGTACCTTGTGGGCAGCTCAAACTCAAAGGTAGAATAAAACTCCCGAGTCAACTCGACAAAGGCGGGGCAGAAGATATCGAGATAGGGGCGCCACCCGATGGTTGTAAACATCTGCTTGACCTCTTCTCGGATGCCTAGGCCCATCATTGTCAGCTTGTCACAAGTTTTACAAGGTATGATACGCCGCTCACAGACCTTAGCGTATCTCTGCTGATCGACGGGTCTAGTGAAGGTTAAGTGCCCCCCAAAGTGAGCTGGAGTATCTACCTGAGCACCCCTACCCCTACCCAAACGGGTTCGGACATTAGAAGAGAAGGGTAGATTGATAGGTGTATTCACAGAAATGGAGGCTTGTGGAGGGGGTTGAGATTGAGAGGCCCTAGACCTAGAGGATGACTTCAGTCTCACCATTTCTCCCAACAGGCAGCTGGAACTCAAAGGTACAGAATTTTCAACGCCCAGTGCAACCAGCAACTACCGATTTAATCAACCAGCAAATGGACAATCGAGTCACCCACAATCTATACCAATTACCCAACAAAGCAACAATGGCACTCAATAACCACAGGATGCCCAACTACGAACCACAACTAACAACGGGTAAAGGTTATTTAATAAGCACAGGGATTATCTAAGTCACTCAATCGACAAGCAAACGATGTCCATCCACAATTGTCAACAAGTAGCCCAATTAATGAAATAGCTATAACAGATCAGAGCAAAAGCTACCTATGGCCCCCAACGCAGCAACCCACAATAGAAGCTAGACAATGCCACACTCGCAACAGATGTTCCAACAAAGGCAGTAAACAACTCAATTGAAATGAACACAGAAGGCAAGTGAGATCAAGAGGCCAAATACACTCAGTAATCCAAAATTAGTTAACCAACTTCAAGAAACAATGCCTGGGTCACCACAGTTC